GGTGAAGGTACGGATATACTCGTCCACTGTGGAGCTGCCCTACTGCAAGTGGTAGAACTCATGGTCCATCCTATCCCAAAATCTCTGGGGAAGGAACTTGCTGCACACCATCACTTTCATTTGCTCCCAAGTGAGAGCATGAAGCTCCGCCTCTGGCCTCCAGGCCCAGTGGTCAATCCACCAGTCAGAGGCGTCCTCCTTCATCTGATAAGCTACTAGGGACACTCGCTGACGGTCAGGGAGGGGAAGCACAATGAAGATCTTATCCAGCTCTTTGATCCACTCCAGCACCGCTGTGGGGTTCTCAGTCCCCGCGAAAGTTGGTGCTTTCATCCTCTGAAACTGGACGATAAGCTGAGTAAGATCCATAGCCAGAGGGGCCTGGTGCTGACGAGGCGGAGAAGGTTGCGGGGATGCCTGACGGTTATGGTTGTTGTTGTGAGTATTCATACTTCTACATTGAATAAGTCGAACAAAGTTTAGCACAGAAACAAACAAAATAATCAATACTTATAGAAGTCTAGAGTTCACCAATAAACACTAGAGTTCGATTAAATCAAGGTGGATAGGTCCTAAGTCCCAAAAATAACAAGTACCTCACAAGTAGTTTCATTACCACATGTGTTCCATTTACATATCAAGTATTTTCATTAATACTTAAATCAAACATACCTTAAGCAGCGCGGGGTGACGGAGACGAGTGGTCATAACACAAGGTCTAAACACATAATCACATATGTGCCAGTCTACAGAAACGCAGACTGGCTCTGATATCAACCTGTAACACCCACTTTGATTTTTAAAGAAATTCCGGACTTTCAAAAAATCAGAAATTTTTTTTTCGAACTCATTTTCGAAAACATGGGCGTGATTCAACATTTAACATCAACCAAGTCATATCTGGTTGTTCACATGGTTTTCATTAACCTTTAAACTTCAATTCCACATGATTATTAGCTAAACAATATAGCATGCATAATCGAAAACCCATGATATTCAATAAATAACTCCAATACGAATATCTAAACAAAGAGTCCAGTAATTCCAACAAAAACAAGTTTTGAAAATAGTTCAACATGTCTAAAGAACCACACTTTATTCATATCGGAAGCGAAATCATAAACACATAAATCATGACCGACCCACTCGTCTATCCCCAGTCATCCGACACCTGCTTAACCTGAATCCGTGAAGAGCAGGTGGGAGTGAGCACAAAATGAACGTAGTGCTCACTACTATGCACATAAATAATACATGTTAGATGGTATGGTCGCAGCATGAATATAAGATAATCACAACATGTCTCATCTCCTATCAAAATCACAACAAACCACATTACTCATGTGCACATCTATCGCTAGCCGCAGAACGGGGATTCATTACCCGAAGGCGGGAGTACATGCAACGCTACGGACACGGCCTTCCATATGGGCTTACGTACCTCGCAAGGCCACGGCCATATCAGGACTTAAGGAGACTTGCCTCACAAGGGCAACCGTATTACATAGACGGGGACAACCGTACCGACGGTCGTAACAGCTCGCATCGATAGGCTACATATTTCATGTTCATGCATAGATCATACTCACAAGATTAAACATTCATCATTCATGGCATAGACAATTTTTGATTAGAACCCACCTGGATAGCTCGGTAGAAAAAATAGCACACAATCACAAGTACGTAGGATGAGGGCTCGACTCCTCAAACACCTACATTTAAGCGAGATAATATATCAATAATCTATCTCACTACTCGAATTAAACATAAAACCCACGCTTAATAAAAATTAAGACTTAAGGGTTTTTATAGGATTTTTCGTGGACTTGGAACTCTCTAATTTTTTTTAAAAAAATATGACTCGGAGAACTAAATGGAGTCTCGATACTTAAAATAATTTTGCAAATTTTTCTCATTTAAAAATAATTTTTAGAATTGAAAACGGTATTAAAAACGGACTTCTGGAACTCAAACTAGGCCTAGAAACTGAATTGGGTTGTTATGCTAAGAATGGGCCAAAGATGCCCAAGCATTTGGGCCCAACATTCTATAATTGGGCCGCACCAAAGGCTGCATGTCCGCGGGTTGGGACTGGGCCAGACGCGGGCTCGCGGGCTTCTCGTGGGCCGGGGTTTACAGAGAGTATGCGGGCTGCGTGGGCTGGATTCTGGCCCTGTGGCCCGCGCTGAAGCTGACCCTCAATAAATAAAAAAAAAAGAGGCCTATTACTTAGGCATGGGATCCAACCCCCGACCACAAACAAGAAATAGCGGACAGATGACCACTGCGCTACACGCTTGGATCGCGATTTTAATCGAACTCATAAATTACTAATATTACAATGAAAGGCCTGCAGCTTGAAAAGAAAGTACAGAGCTGGGGAAAAATTACAGAACTTGTGAAATCACAAGCAGACTGAACCAAACTCGACGACGACATCGCCAATGGAAACCGGGTCGAAAATATAAAATGTTTACGGAAATAACATATTTATAAGGTTTCAAAAAAACATTAAAGGCTGGTTAAAAAGAAGTCGAAAGTCGGAACGACAATACGTAGTTCGAAAACAACCGAATGACACAACGATAACGATAAGGCTCGAAACAATAAAACGAGACTCCGAAACACAACAAATTTATCACAGCAACAACGAGACTCAATTAATACGATAAACGAGAGTTCCAATAATCCACGAACTTACAAATAACGAACATACGAATCGACAAATAAACTGAATTTGAACCCATCGAAACGATTCAACACGAATAAAAATAAATGAACGATATCGATCATTCTGAACAGAAATAAATGAGAGGGTTTCGAACGGTTACCCATCTTCGAGTTGTCGGAAAAATGGACGGGGCGAAGTGGGGCCGAATGGACGAAAGGGACTCTGAAATCGAAAGCTTCGAACACGGTGACTGAAGCCTACTGATCCTCGAATTGCTCTGCTGTGTGGAAGCCGACGGCGAAGAGGAGGTCTCATCGGGAAGAACGGTGAACGTCGGAGGCACGCGAATGGAGCTTTCGCTGGAAACTAAGCTCGATGAATGGAACTGCTGAAAAGCTTCCCCCTGGAGACTTTCGGACAGACTGAGGCTTGCTCTCGATCTCTGAAGGACGTCGGTGACTGAATTCCGCCGGAATGAATGGTGTCTGCTGGAATTGCAAGGACGATTTTTTATTTTTTTCTAAACGAAGCAGGGAGATGAGAGTAGAGATTGATAGCTTCTGAAAGTTGAGTGATGAGGAGATGTGCTCTACTTGACTGATATATAAGAACAATCGCGGGTGCAACGTGGCTGAAAAATCGCAAAGGATATTGAAGCCGTTGAGAGGAGGGGTGGACCGGTTCGTGCGTAGAGAAGAAGGAGAAAGTTGCTGGATAAATACTTCTTAATGGGCCAAGGTTGATTAATACATTTGGGCCAAAATAAAACAAGAAATTGGGCCATCACTTTTAATCCAATTGGGCTAGGAAAAATATCTCTTATTGGGTTTGAGTTGTTAACTCTATGTTGGACCAAAATTAATTGATCGAGTGGCCGGAAATCAATTTAAATCGGGCTGAACGGAATACAACGCGATAATAAAAATTTTCGCTCAATTCGATTTAATAGAATATGGCCCGGAATAAATAAGTAAAACCCGATTATTTATATTTATAATACACGCAATATATATTTATATAATAATAGGCATTTAAAACAATTAGACATTTAATCACAAATAAATATTTACTAATAATAATAATAATAATAATAATAATAATAATAATAATAATAATAATAATAATATAAATAAGCAATAATAATGGCAATAATAAACTAATAAATAATCTCAAATAATTCAAATTCAAATTCAAACGGAGCATTTGAATTCTTTTTGATTCGATTGATTATTTTGAGATTAGTTTAGCTTGTAACCATTGTCTTTGCTCATTTATATGTTTCTATTTTCATTTCTTTCTTTTTGTTCGGGACGAACAAAGGTTTTAATGTGAGGGAGTATTTTGTTCCAATTCTGTTGCTATTTTTATTAGTATTTTTGTTGAGTATTTTTCAGTTTTAGGTTGTCTCTGAGTGTTTTTTCGGTCCATTTAGTTGTTTTGTGTGTTTTTGTGTGATTGGTATTTATTTTCCTATTTTTCTATATTTTTCGTGTTTTTTATGTCGTTTTCATTTCAGGTTATATTTATCCAGTTATCATGCTCTTTATCCAAGTTGAGAAGTTTAATATTGGTTCGTGTGATCAAAGATGTGAGAGTCAAGAATTTTACGTAGACGACACTAGCCGAAGCTCGAAAGGCCGAATTTTTTTTTTTTTAGTTTCAGCACCACCTTAGCGCCACTAGGAAGGGTTAGCGTCGCTAACCCTGGCAGTCTGCAGGTTGTTGTTTTTCTTACCTATGTTGGAACTTGTGGTTGAATAGGTGGAAGTTAGGCATCATGTTAGGAGTGATTTTCTGCTATTTTCTCATCCAATTACAACTACAAGGGAGACTACTTGTGCTATAAAAGGAGGACTCTGTAACACCCCACCTTGATTTTCAAGAAATTCTGGACTTTCCAAAAATCAGTATAAAATTTTTGAACTCATTTTCGAAATCATGGGCGTTATACAACATTAAACATCAACCAAGTCGTATCTGGTTGTTCACATGGTTTTCATTAACCTTATAAAATTCAACTCCACATGATTATTAGCCAAACCACATAGTATGCATAATCGAAGACACGTGATAATCCATAAATAACTCTCATACGAATATCAAACAAAGGGTCCAAAATCCCGACACGGACTATTTTTTAAAACGGTTCAACATGTCTCAAAGACCACACTTTATTCATAAAGGAAGTGAAATCATAAACATAATAATCATGACCAACCCACTCGTCTTTTCCCCGTCATCCGGCACCTGCTTAACCTGCATCCGTGAAGAGCAGGTGGGAGTGAGCGCAAGAAAAAAGTAGTGCTCACTACTATGCACATAAATAACATATGACAAATGGTATGGTCGCGGCATGAATATAAGATAATCACATCATGTCTCATCTCCAATCGAAATCACAACAA